ATACACTTACATGAACATTGTGGTTGCTATACTGCCTTCCCCATGCCCCACCCTACATTATGTGTGCTAATCATATTGCCTCTTTTCCCCCTTATACCTCCCTTCCCACTCATCCTCCCCAGTCCCTTTCCCTTTGGTAACTGTTAGTCCATTCTTGGGTTCTGTGAGTCTGCTGCTGTTTTGTTCCTTCAGTTTTTTTCTTTGTTCTTATACTCCACAGATGAGTGAAGTCATTTGATACTTGTCTTTCTCCACCTGGCTTATTTCACTGAGCATAATACCCTCTAGCTCCATCCATGTTGTTGCCAGTGTTAGAATTTGTTTTCTTCCTATGGATGAATAATATTCCATTGTGTATATGTACCATATCTTCTTTATCCATTCATCTACTGATGGACACTTAGGTTGCTTCCATTTCTTGGCTATTGTAAATAGTGCTGTGATAAACATAGGGGTGCATCTGTCTTTTTCAAACTGGGCTCCTGCATACTTAGGGTAAATTCCTAGGAGTGGAATTCCTGGGTCAAATGGTATTTCTATTTTGAGTTTTTTGAGGAACCTCCATACTGCTTTCCACAATGGTTGAACTAATTTACATTCCCACCAGCAGTGTAGGAGGCTTCCCCTTTCTCCACAACCTCGCCAACATTTGTTGTTGTTTGTCTTTTAGATGGCAGCCTGGCAGCCATCCTAACTGGTGTGACGTGATATCTCATTGTGGTTTTAATTTGCATTTCTCTGATGATTAGCGATGTGGAGCATCTTTTCATGTGTCTGTTGGCCATCTGAATTTCTTCTTTGGAGAACTGTCTGTTCAGATCCTTTGCCCATTTTTTAATTGGGTTATTTGCTTTTTATTATTGAGGTGCATGAGCTCTTTGTATATTTTGGATGTCAATCCTTTATTGGATATGTCATTTAGGAATATATTCTCCCATACTGTAGGATGCCTTTTTGTTCTACTGATGGTGTCCTTTGCTGTACAGAAGCTTTTTAGTTTGATATAGTCCTACTTGTTCATTTTTCATGTTTATATTCAAGAGAGTTTTGCCTATATTTTCTTCAAAGAGTTTTATGGTTTCATGACTTACATTCAGGTCTTTGATTCATTCTGAGTTTACTTTTGTATGGAGTTAGACAGTAATCCAGTTTCATTCTCTTACATGTAGCTGTCCAGTTTTGCCAACACCAGCTATTGAAGAGGCTGTCATTTCCTGATTGTATATCCATGGCTCCTTTATCATATATTAATTGGCCATATATGCTTGCGTTAATATCTGGACTCTCTATTCTGTTCTACTGGTCTATGGGTCTGTTCTTGTGTCAATACCAAATTGTCTTGATTACTGGGGCTTTGTAGCAGAGCTTGAAGTCAGGGAGCATAATTCCCCCTACTTTATTCTTCCTTCTCAGGATTGCTTTGGCTATTTGGGGTCTTTTGTGGCTCCATATGAATTTTAGAACTATTTGTTACAGTTCATTGAAGAATGCTGTTGGTATTTTGATAGGGATTGCATTGAACCTGTATATTGCTTTAGGCAGGATGGCCATTTTGCAATATTCATTCTTCCTACCCAAGAGCTTGGGATGAATTTCCATTTATTAGTGTCCTCTTTAATTTCTCTTAGGAGTGTCTTGTAGTTTTCAGGGTATAGGTCTTTCACTTCCTTGGTTAGGTTTATTCCTAGGTATTTTATTCTTTTTGATGCAATTGTGGATAGAATTGTTTTCCTGATTTCTCTTTCTGCTAGTTCATCATTAGTGTATAGGAATGCAACAGACTTCTGTGTATTAATTTTGTATCTTGCAACTTTGCTGAATTCAGATATTATTTCTAGTAGTTTTGGAGTTGATTCTTCACGGTTATGTACAATATCATGTCATCTGCAAACAGTGACAGTTTGACTTCTTCCTTAACAATATGGATGCCTTTTATTTCTTTGTGTTGTCTGATTGCCATGGCTAGGACCTCCAGTACTATGTTGAATAAAAGTGGAGAGAGTGGGAAACCCTGTCTTGTTCCTGATTTTAGGTGAACAGCTTTCAGCTTCTCACTATTAAGTATGACGTTGCCTGTGGGTTTGTCACATATGGCCATTATTATGTTGAGGTACTTGCCCTCTATACCCATTTTGTTGAAAGTTTTTATCATGAACGAATGTTGAATTTTGTCGAATACTTTTTCGGCATGTATGGAGATGATCATGTGGTTTTTGTCCTTCTTTTTGTTGATGTGGTGGATGATGTTGATGGATTTTCAAATGTTGTACCATCCTTGCATCCCTAAGTATTTTTTAATGTTTATCTTTGTGGGAAACATTAATACTGTTTATGAAAATCTTATTTTACTCTACTTCCAGGCAAATGTGAAAACTGTACTTCCTTCTTGAGGTTGAATGTGGTGCTAACTTGCTTTGGCCAATGAAACATAAGCTGAAGCAACATGAATTGGTTTCTGGTAGCACTTAATTGCCAGTGTTCAACAACCCAACTTTCATGTGCCCGGCCACAGTGATCATGGATACATGAGTGCAGGGATACCATAGAATCACAGTGGCCTAGAATGATGAACCAACAAATGAGAGATGGATACCTGAGTCACCCAGGCCCACAGTGGACTTTGGATAGCAAAAATTAACTTTTGTTGTATTAAACCACAGAGATCTTGGAATTGGTTCTTAGTGCTGCGTAGCCTATACTGTGTGGTAGGCTAGATAACTAGATATAGTCTTGATGGCCTGAATCCTTGAGAACCACTTGTCTAGGGAGTATGGGATTTTATTCTGTATGTAGCTATGTGAGCTGACTGAGCATGCCAAAGAAGTTTCTCCCATTTTTATTGAGCCTGGAGTTATAAGCTGGAAAAGAAGACTACAAATACATGGATCAAGTATCCCCAGTTGTGGTCATAGCCCATCAGCATCAAAATCACCTGAGGTGCACCCACCATTTTACACATGCAGATTCTTGGCCCCAAACAACAGACATCAGGATCAAAATCTCTGGGGAAGACCGTGGAATCTGTATTTTAAACGAATTCCATAAGGTTTCTTATGCCTGCCAAAGACTGAGAACCACTCCTATTGATAAATAATTTTCAAAGTGGGTTACATATACCTTGAGAGTATGAAGATAACCCAGTGGGTAAGATAATAGAAATTATCTTAATTTGTATGCTTACTGAAAAGGTCAGAAGAAAGCAATTAATCGTTACTATATTTAAATATGGATTGACACTTGGGCCTGCATTCATAGCACATTCATTCGGCATTTACTGAGAGCCTACTATGTGCCAGGCACTGCCTTAGGTACTGGGGATACAAAAATGAATAGCACAGCATGGAGCTTACATCTCTAATAGGAGAAGATAGATGAAAATGAATAAAGAATAAATACTTAGTATGATATAAGGTGACAAATGCTATGCAAGGTTAGAAGGATGGAGATTGGGGAGAGTGAGGGGATGACTGTTATTTCATACAGGATTGTCAGGGAACACTTTGGGGACAAATTTACCTTGGAGCAGATACCTGGAGGTGAGTGAACAAGCCATGCACATTTCTAGAGGTGAAGTGTTATGGTCAGAGGAGCAACCAGTGCAAAAGCTGTGGGGTAAGAACACATGTAGTATGCTCTTGGTCCAGGAGTCCAGTGTGACTCAAGGGGGATAAGTGGCTGGAGGGAGGATAGGAGTAGGTGAGGCCAGAGAATTGGAGGGGCAGGTAACTGATCATGTAGGACCTTGTGGGCTACTTTGAAGGCTTTGGCTTATTCTCTGAATGAGATATAAAGCCACTGAGGGTGTGAGCCTGCCAACATTGAGAGGCTGGGCAGATTATGAAGAATTAGTAAAAGAGATGAAAAGATGTGGCTAGCAAAGTGAAAGACAAATAAATGAAAATGGCAACACAGAGGCAAAGAGAAGGAAGGAGAGATTATCAGCTGTGTCTAATGCTTCCCCAGGTAGAGGGTGATCTTGACAAATGTAATTTTGGTGGAATGGTGGGAACTCAAGCCTGACTGTGTTCAAGAAAGAATGGAAAAAGAGAAATTGGGCTTAGCAAGTTTTTGAGAGTTTAGATATAAGGGGGCAGAGAGAAATGGAGTGATATTTGGAGGGGGATATGAGGTCAAAAGAAGGTTTTTAAGATGGAGGACCATATAAATGTGCCTTTTTAAAGAACATTTTAGATTATATGATCTATTTTAGCATACGTAATCACAAAGGGCAAGTGGCTTAGAGATTCATATAATGAAGTGAATGCTGGATTGAAAATAACAACAAAATGCAACACCAATGAATAACAGAATGGAGATTCTACACTTTTAATTCCAGTAGAAGTTGTTCATCAGTCACATCACTAAATTAAAACCAATGAAAAGCTAACCAGATATGATAAGAAATCAGCTCTGCCCCCCAATCAGTAGTGTTAAAATAATTATTTAAAATATAGATTTATATTTAATATCATTAAGGATGAGCCTCTCCTTATGTTTAATCTTTATGTTGCTCTTTGTGAGGTTTATTTTCCAACTAATATGCTATTAAATAAAATGAAAAATTTCAAAAATAGTGAAGTGTGTTTAATGGCATTATTCCATTAATGGTGAAAATTATTAAAATATTATTTATGTGTTTAAAGTCATGCTTGCTTTTTAAAGGTTCATTTACTTGTATAGCGGTGTATTTATTTAAAAATACGTATATTCACATATACTCGGGGTACATACTCAAAAATTTTTAGCAATTACTACTATGGCCTACTCATTGACAAAGCATAGATTCAACTTTCAGCTGCTGCTGTTTTTTGTATGTATGGGCTATTTTTAAAAACTTTTCCATAGTATTTGTAATGATATAGCAATCATTTTGATGTGAACTTTGCTTTTTCATTCTAGGAAAGACTACTTTAAATTATTTCAGACAGATGGTTGGTGACTAGAAAACAAATATAAAACAATCTTCTGTTTAGCCCCAGCTTACAGCTGTATGGTCCTACCTCTGTCTTCTTCTGCAGCTTCTTTTTTTGTTTTTCACCTTGATCCTTTAGGCAAAAGAAAAAGAATGATCAACTATGAACAAGGTGAGGCAAAGCCCACCACTCCCCCCGCCCCACTCTGCTTTTTGTAAAAAAAAGTAGAAAGTTCCCTTTCTGCTGCTAACTAGCTATGTGATCTTGGGTAAGTGACTTGACCTTTCTGATTCTGTTTCATCTTCCATAAAATGTGGAAAATAAAAATAACATCCTCACAGAGTTGTTGTGAGGATCAAATGAAAAATGCATGGCAAAATACAAATAAACAAGTAAGATCCAATACAAATGCTAATATGATGATGCTTATGCCCCAATTCTTTTGCCCACCCTCCGTCCCAGTCCTTTGCTGAGCCCCTCACTGGGGGCAGGCCTGGAGTCTAGAGGTGGGAAAACAGCAGTCCTGGCCAGTGACTTGCTTTGGTCAACAGGAAGTCAGCAGATGTGACATAAGAGATGCTTGCAAAGTACTTGTGTAACTGGGTTTATCCTTTTGCTTCTCTGCCCCAGCTGACAAGAACATGCGCAGTCCAGCCAAGAGGAACCACTCCAGCTGAGCCCAGCCTAGAACTATTTCAGCTTAGATGAGCTGATCCACAGCTAACTTGCAGATCAGATTAGTAAATAAAGTTGTATGCCCTGGAGAATTTGTAATGGTTGTATTATTATTAATATTATTATTATATTAACTGGTACAATCATGATTTCCCTGGAAAATATTGACAAAAAAATGGATGTTTCAAAAAGAGTAAACAATATAAAATTTTTATGGTTTCAGGTCTTACATTTAGGTTTTTAGTCCATTTATAGTTTATTTTTTTATATGTACAAATTTTGAGTTTATTTTATGTCTATTTTGTAAAATAGTTGTCCAGTTTCATTCTTTTATATGCAAAAAAATTAACTTGAAATGAATTAAAAACCTAAATACAAGACATGAAACCACAAAAATCCTGTAAGAACACACAGGTAGTAAACTCTTGTACATTGGCATTAGCAATGTCTTTCTAGATACACCTTTCCATGCTAGGGAAACAGAAGCAAAAATAAAAAAGTGGGACTATGTGAGGTGGAGCTAGGATGGCGGCGTGAGTAGAGCAGTGGAAATCTCCTCCCAAAAACACATAGAGCTATGAAAATATAACAAAGAAAAATCTTCCTAAAATAGAGACCACAGGACACAGGACAACATCCAGACCACATCCACACCTGCAAGAACCCAGCGCCTTGCGAAGGGGGTAAGATACAAGCCCCGGCCCGGCAGGACCCGAGCGCCCCTCCCCCCG